CTCGACTCCTCCCAACAAATAACATACATAACAAACAAAGACAAACAACAACACTAGACTCCACCTAACAATTAACATGAATATAAAACAACAAAGACAAATAACAACACTCGATTCCTCCTAACAAATAACATACATAACAAACAAAGACAAACAACAACACTCGACTCCTCTGAACAAATAACATACATTATTATAATAACAAACGAAGACAAACAACAACACTCGATTCCTCCGAACAAATAACATACATTATTATGATAACAAACAAAGACAAATAACAACACTCGATTCCTCCGAACAAATAACATACATAACAAACAAAGATAAACAACTGCACTCGATTCCTCCGAACAAATAACATACATAACAAACAAAGATAAACAACTGCACTCGATTCCTTCCAACAAATAACATACATAACAAACAAAGACAAACAACAACACTCGACTCCGCCGAACGGCACGATTTCATTACGTTGCAATACGGATAGCTAAGGATCAGCCAGGGTTCTGAAAGTCTTTTAGGGTTTACTACGTTACAACACGACAAAAAAAGAAATATTACGGTCCACGACAAACTGATATAAGGCTTCTGTATAAATACTCAATACCTAGTCTGTGTCTTGCCGTTGAGGTATACATAACATTATCCAACATGAATAATCAACAACTGCTGGTTGCAATTAATTGGCTGGAATTGGATATTGATATAGCACAAAATGCCAGGGCAGTGGTCGAGCTACTTGATGACAGACGTAGAGGTGACCGGAGGCAGAGTAGATGTTGGATTAGGGACTGACTTCCCTATCCATGGCCAGTATGAGCCCCTCATGACTGAATTTTGTGCGGAAAATCCAGCTACATTTAAGAACTTTGAAAGAATAGTCCCAAATATGTTTCAAGAACTGCTAAATGTCGTTGGTCCGATGATAACGAAGAACACCACATAGTACAGACAGACAAATAATTTAATTTACAAAACAAAACAAAAGATCTACGATTCACTGCCATAAAGAAATGATAAATCACAATCTTAATTACAGAAATGATTAACGGCTTTTAGAAAATGTGGCGGTTCGTACTATTCCGTTTCAGACCGTTCTCATTCGTACTAACCCTTACTTATACCGTAGCAAACCGCTGTTTATCCGCAGTACATACGTCCCAACACTTGTCGTTGCGTACTAAACCGTGTCATTTCCGTATTAAACCGTGTTTAACCGAAAGAACCCGTATCACTCATGTCGCCAAATGACCCCCGTCCTTCATTATCCGTGCTAGTAACGTCAAAACCCGTAGTCATACCGTTGTGCATCCGTATCGGACTACGGAAATTGCATTTCTGGGATCCCGTGAGATTTAATCCGTAGTGGATCCGGCGAGGTGATCCTTGAATGTGTGACCTAGGCATAAAGAAACTAATTGTTTTCATATATCTTTATATACTTTACAAATCAAAATGACTTAAAATTGAGAATAGAAAGGGGGAATGTGTCAAAGAGACAACAACCCGACCAAAGAGCTGAAAACAGCCCCAGGCCACCAATGGGTCTTCAGTTGATGTATTTAAGAAGGAACACCAAAGTAAGCAACATGCCGTCCATAATAATCAACTAAATAAACATAAAAGGACAAGCATTAGTAAATGACAATAAGACAAACACCGACATCTGATAACATGTACATGCATATTAATATATTGGTCTAAAAAGTTAATCCACTCGATCTACGTTGTCTTATTCCTTTCATGTTCATATAAATAATTGACATGTGGATATAAGACAATGAGACAGCAACTACAATATAAATAACAGAATGGCATCTAAGGGCAATATACAGTTTCAAACAATAGACAGAATAAAGAAGTATAGTCAATTGTTGAAAAGTATTATTAATTGGACTCTGCAAGATCTTTTTAAACAACTTTTTGAGTTTGAGGTTCAACTAACCATTTGTATCCGGAAAATACCGTTATCAAATCAGGAATACGACAGTTTTTTTTAATTAAGTTGTGACGTCATTGCGGCAAGTCCGATAAAGGACGTCGATTAGAGAATCCAAATATTGGGCGTCGATTTGAGAACAACAAAAAAACGTCGATTAGAGGATCATATAATTGGCCGTTGATTTGGAATCTCATTATGACGTCAGATTTGGACGTCGATTTGAGGAACGGACGTCGATTAGAGACCAGACGTTGATCTGAGTCTAACATATATACCTGACTTTCACATAATTGTGCCAAGGAGCATTGTATCTAAAATTCATGAGCTTTGGTCAAGTATACATAAATTCTATTAAAAATTTATTACGGTCGATGACAACAACGACGCATTATTACCGTAATACGACTGTAGTATAAAAAAAAGTAAACTGTACACTTGTAAAATACGTTTGAAAAATATTTGTCTATGTGGACCTTGCAGTTATCGTAGATAAAAACCAGTCAAACAAAATAAGTCGAAATACAAGCTTATCGTAGATCCAAACAAGTCATAGAAAGTAGCTTTTTGCATATCCAAACTAGTCAAATAAGATAAGTTGGACTAGCAAATTATTTTCGATCAAAACTAGTCAAAGAAGATAAGTGGACCTAGTAGTTTATCGAAGATCCAAACCAATCAAAGAAGATAAGTGGACCTAGTAGTTTATCGAAGATCCAAACTAATCAAAGAAGATAAGTGGACCAAGCAGCTTATCGTAGATCTAAACTAGTCAAAGAATATAAGAGTACCTAGCAGTTAATCGTAAATCTAAACTAGTAAAAAAAGATAAGTGGACCTAGCAACTTATCGTAGATTCAAACCAGTCAAAGAAAATATGCGGATCTAGCAGTTTATCGTAAATCCAAACCAATCAAAGAAGATAAGTGGACCTATAGCAGCTTATTGTAGATCCACACATGTCAAAGAAGATAAGGGGACCTAGCAGAGTTTACCGTAGATCTAAACCAGTCAAAGAAGATAAGTGGAACTAGCAGTTTAAATTATCGTAGATCCAAACCAGTCAAGGAAGATAAGGGGACCTAGCAGTTTATCGTAAATCTAAACTAGACCAAGAAGATAAGTGGACATAGCAGCTTATCGTAGATCCAAACCAGCCAAAGAAGATAAGTGGATCTAGCAGTTTATCGTAGATCCAAACCAATCAAAGAAGATAAGTGGACCTATAGCAACTTATTGTAGATCCACACAAGTCAAATGAGATAAGGGGACCTAGCAGAGTTTACCGTAGATCTAAACTAGTCAAAGAAGATAAGTGGAACTAGCAGTTTAAATTATCGTAGATCCAAACCAGTCATGGAAGATAAGTGGACCTAGCAGTTTATCGTAAATCTAAACTAGTCAAAGAAGATAAGTGGACCTATAGCAGCTTATCGTAGATCCACAAGTCAAATGAGATAAGGGGACCTAGCAGTTTATCCTAGATCTAAACTAGTCAAAGAAGATGCGTGGAACTAGCAGTTTAAATTATCGTAGATCCAAACCAGTCAAGGAAGATAAGTGGACCTAGCAGTTTATCGTAGATCCAAACCAGTCAAAGAAGATAAGTGGAATTAACAGTTAATCGTAGATCTAAACTAGTCAAAGAAGATAAGTGGAATTAGCAGTTTATCGTAGATCCAAACCAGTCAAAGAAAATAAGTGGACCTAGCAGTTTATCGTAGATCCAAACCAATCAAAGAAGATAAGTGGAATTAGCAGTTTATCGTAGATCCAAACCAGTCAAAGAAGATAAGCTGACATAGGAACTTATCGTAAATCCATACAATCATATGAGATAAGTGGAGCTTGCAGCCTATCGTCTACGTTAGATTCATTTATTTTCTTTGATACATCTACCAAATTTTGTTTATTGAGAACAAATTCATTTTCGTGGATATTTGGTTACCAAAGTCTGCGTACAAGCCTATTAAAATTTGTACTTCTTTGAACATTTAAATTCATGGTACACCTATGTAGTACAGCTTGAAATTATTACTTATTTTGATAAATAGTATTTGTTTATATTTGTTCATGTATCGACTTATTGACTGACTCTGACAGAGTATACAGTATGACAGTACTTTGATTTTCTATTCACATGTATTTACATCCTGGGTTTTCTATTTCTTTATTCCGATTGGTTACTCTGTGAACTCCTTTGATATTGAGGCACTCTTTTCAAATTCTTCGCAGAGATATAGAATACTGATACTTTATTGTGATATTCATATATTTATTATTCTTATTCAGGAAACTTACTCTTTATATTCAGGTCAGTTATATTCTTCAGTCTTTGGTGCATGTATTTCCCATATTTTTATCTTGTATGAAAGATATGAATGTGTTATGAAAATGTGTATGAAAGTCCAGTTTGATTCCCAAGAGTATGAAAGAGTTCATATTTTTACTTTAAGTTGGTATTTGCAAGACAGAAAGAATATTACAGTTATTATATTATTTTTCATATTTGGCTGTTATTAGATTCCAGCATAGAATATTGTCTTGCATTGAGTTAAACTAGATTAAGACTTATGAAGTCAATATTTCTTTATATTCAGATTCCAGTATGTGAAGTATATAGACGTACAGTAACTTTATAGAGGAGCACTGCTCAGCCCCTGTATTATATACACGGTAAGCTGTGTTCTGTGCTTACATGTTTATTCATTACGTGTTGTCTATTTGTACTTATGTGTTTTAATTCATTTGTGTCTTGTCTGTGATTGTAATGTGTTTTGTTTAGTTTACGATTATCTCCAAACAGCTTACTTATGGGTGTTTTTAACGACCTTGACTGGCTGTAAAGCCCTCGCACGGTCGGCTCTCCAAATAGAGAAGTGTATTAGAATTGATTACTTTAAATAATGATCGTGGACACAAGGTGTTACTGATATCTGTGATATTGCATTTTGATCAATTACCGGATATAGACTTTGGTACAGATGCTTATGATTTGTAGTAAAACGTATTTTATTAATTATGGTATATTTCAAACTGAAGTTAACTACTTGGATAATTTATATTTGATTTTATTGATACAGAGATGATTAGAGTTATCGTTCTTAGAACGTGTGTATTGTGTCTATATGTTACAGGGTGTTTATTTGAGATTGCCTATAATAAACCATATAGAACCCTTCTCAGAGTTATTTACGCCCAAACTGATGAGTTTACACCTATACCAACTAAATCCACAAAAACTGGTATCACACGAATACTAATGATTCCACGAAAACTGGTATCACACGAATACTAATGAATCCACGAAAACTGGTATCACACGAATACTGATGAATCCACAGTATACCAAACCAGTCAAATTAGACTTTGTTCAACGCTTTGTATGTCTTCTTCGTTGAAGTATTTTACAATCAAATGTCGATACTGAATGTAGTCTATAATACGTGGAGGAAAACCTTCCTGTTTGATGTAGTTGATAAACATTTGAAAACTAAGACCTAAATGACTTCTCAAGCGACGTCTGCACAAATCGGCTAATGTTCGTGGTTCGTAAAGCACACTGTGAACTTTTGCTAATATTTCTTCATCAATAGTATTAATATCATTTGATAAAATGAACCGTTTATCCTCATAACAGAAACAACTAAATGTTTCTAAAAGAAGAAGGACGAGATCTTTTACTTTCGGTTTAATATGGCTAGGTACATCCACGCATGTACTCCGAATTAAAAGATACTGCAAAAGAGACGTGTCACCTGCCGGCATGCTATCTATGGCGTTACATGAAAGTAGTAAATAAAACACTTTAGCTCGGGTGTTGATTTCCACAAGTCTGTATAAAAATCTCTCATCAGCTACTGAAAGTGCCCCATTCAACAATAGTTTTACCAATACATCGTATCTGCCGGTTTTTAGAGCTACAAAAAATGGCGTCTCGTTTAACATTACTCTGTCCTGAGTGTTGCATTCGTTAAAATTTGCTCCAGAGTGTGTAAAATCGCTATTGGCTTTATTCACATCGTGTCCTCTACTGATAAGTGTTGCTACATTTTCAATTAAATGTTCATTTTCAAATAAATGTTCATTTTCAATTGAATGTTTATTTTCCATGATAATTACAGAACTAATTGCAGACCAGGGGCTGTGAGCAGAACCAAGAGCAACAAAATGTTCCTCACTCAAATAGGTCGCTATGTCGGTCAACTCGAGTTCTTCAGCCCATTTAAGTGCACTGTAACCACCATACCGCAATTTACATAGCGCCGATCGTAGTTCGGGTTCAGTATGAATATCTGACCCTATAATAATGACTTTTACTGCTCTTATGTTGTGATTTAAAATTGCTTGTATAAACCAATTGAGAATTTGCTCTTTAACCAGCCTTCTGTTGGATCATAATTTGACATATTCGTTCATGACTATTGAGAAAAGCTTACCATCTCCTGTAAAATAAAACACGTTGTAAAAAAGATCCAACCTTTAATTTGGTAAATGAGTTTTACAAACAAAGTAAAGCAGTTGCATGCATAATTGTGATGTCAGTTTTAATATCATAATTTAATTACAAACAAAACAAAGGTATCAAATATAACTTCCGCTTACTGCACCTGATATGAAATAAATCTGTCAATTTTTAATTTTGATCTTTTTAGATAGAATGTTTAACAGGCATTTGCTATTAGTGGGTTTCCTAAATTCGTCACGTTTGGTTACATTTCAACAAGAAGTTTAGGGTTTTTTGCGTTGACACACTTTTCCGAAAAATGATATTGTAAAATCCATATTTACATTGGAAAACCCAGGTATACATATAGTTAATCTGATAACATATAAAACGGTGATCTCAAACTAGGAAGTTTATGTCAATAACAAAAAAGAACCTTGCTAAACAACAGTTACTCAGACTGAAAATTATTGTATCGAAGTGATGTGGACTACTCTCCGGGTAAAAATGTTTAACAAAATTCGTGATTTACACCCTTCTAAAACCCCAAAATGCAGAAAAGTTTCGTTTGAGGTCCTTTCATTTAACGGACAAGGGTTCTACTGGAATGCTACTTATAAACGGAAATTTTCATGATTTAACGACGACAATTGCCAATGGTGGAGCAGTAATTGCATAGTACCCTCGGGGAGGAACACCCGAGCTGTTTTAAAAGTGTTTAGGATCGTGTTGCTTTTGCTTAAAATTGCTTAGTTTTATTTCAGATGTTTCATTTTTCAATGTCCGTGCTTGTTATATATGTAACGGTCTTTACTACCATCAAGTTTGTCCTCTAGATTCGAGTTCCATTTCAAACTTTCCCATTCGATAATTAGACCAAAAGGCTTGAATCGTGTATAAAAATATTGTTATTTTCCAATATCAAAAACCCATGCTACAAAACGAGCGATCGTTTGATTGTGCGGGTCAGAATAGGGAGGTTAAATCCAATGACGAAGATGATACTTGACCTCTAGATATCTTTGATTTTTTGTGTCGTTGGGTTGCTTTATCATTGACGTATAACCCAGATCTATCCATATCCATATTTATATAGATTCTTCTCACTTGAAGGCGGTGCATTCCTATCAGCTACATGATTAGCTATAAAAAGTATGTCATTTTACTGAATAATTCAAAGTTTAATGAATGATGGTTAAGTTTATTTCATTGATACCATAGATAACTACTGTAACGTTTGTTACCTATCTTGACTTGTACCAAGGAATTGTAAGTAAGGATCGATTGAATACTAAACTTTATGACAATTGAAAAGTCGTGTTTGAATTTACATAAGTCTGAAATCGTAGGTAATATAGCAATCCATGTTAGAGTTTTTAATTCTCATACTTTAAATAAAAAAAAATATTACCTGATTTTATTGCGATGCCCAAATTGTTTATGATATTTGATGATTTTTCGTAAAACAACATAGTTTCTAATATCTTTCCGTAATTATCAGCAATGAATTCAAGACAACCATGAGCACAGGAACGAACTGCTAGATTGTACAAATCTCTCATTTTGCCGCAATTCGCCTTCTCAAGCTGAATTTTTTCTGCCAACACCTTGAAAACATCAAGTCTGTCTTTTTCAACAGACTTATTTAAATCATATTCACATAATATATAGTAGACTGATCCTTTGTCCAGTTTATCAATTAACTTCATGATTTCATTCATTATTTCTTTACGGTTATGTACGAGAGCTAGATATAAGACCGACAACTTTTTCTTCAGTGTAAACCATATATTTGAATACTTATCATTTTGTAAATACCAAGCAAACATTTCACGAACCAATTCCTTTTTATTCATTATGACGGCCAAGTGAACCCAATAGAAGCCACCACAATCATTTTCAGGATACGACTTTGTAATGCCATCGCCTAAAGAAACGCTCGATTCTTGACTGCGCACATGAAGACACTTTCCGGTTTTCAAACAATTGCCTAGTTCCAATACCATATCTTCTGTTGTCATACCTGTTGTAGGTAGGCATGTTTCAAACTCATCAGCGCACTGACAGGTTACTGGAAAGCCTTCATTTGTTTGCGTTTGGTCAATCAAAATCTCTGTAAATTATAGATGAAAACAACAAGATTCCTACATTTATAAGAATACCAGAAAATATAACTTATTCCATAAAAATTAAAACGTAGACGATCCCAGTTAGAGGAGGGCCTTTTTGAAATCCCGCACTGCATTAAATAAAAAGATATGGTATAATTGCCACTGTGATAACTGTCAAGATTGCCAATGAGACAACTATCAACAGAAATCAAATAAAGCGGACGTAAGCAACTATAGGTTAGTGCAATGCTTTCGACAATGAGTAAAACCCATACCGTATATATAGCCAGCTATAAAAGACCCTGACAGGACAAAATGTGAAATAAAAAATGTGGAAAAAAAGTTGCATGCAACTTTGGCTCCTTGAACTATAACTGAAAATCGAAAAAAAAAATGTATTGATCTCTTTTATCATCTGAAATATTACTGATTGAATTCTTTTAAAATTGGTGAACATGTGAATAGAAAGCACATAAAATTGGCGAAAATCATCTTAAATTTGTCGGAAAATCATATAATCTCTAATTTCTAATTAATAGATTTTTCTTGAAAAACTATATGTTGTTGATACACAAATTTCCGTTTTAATGATGTAAAATAATGATAGGGTTACCGACTTCGTTTTTACGGTATAAATCATTCAAAGTGGTGTTCTATGTGAAAAAATACCACAAAATGTCGAAATAATCGTAACGTCATCGCGTTGCAGGCCGTAAAACGTTAATTTTTGACATTTTTCATTATCAATTAGGTAACAGATTGGTTAATATTCCAAAAACGAAGTCGGTGACCATATGATTATTTTATATCATTAAAACAGAAATTTATGTATCAACAAAATATAGTTTTTTTAAGAAAATCATGCACCTACTTGCATATAACGTTATAAAAGGACATAACTCAAGAACGGTAAAAGTGACGCTACCCAAATTCGTACTTGATCTGAGTTTTGTGGTAATAAGCATTGTGTATAAGATTCATAACATTTGGTTGAGGCAAACTTAAGTAAGAGAACGGAAACAAAAAAATCAGCAGTTTTCCATTTGTAAAAGTGCATAACTCTAGAAAGATAAAAGTGACGCCACCCAAATTCAAACTTGATCTGTGTTTTGTGGTAATAAGCATTGTGTATAAGTTTCATTACATTTGGTTGAGGTAAAATAAGTTAGAGAACAGAAACCAATTTCGGGACGTACGGATGTACGTACAGACGAACAATGGTAAAACTTAATGCCCCTACGTTACAGCGGGGGCATAAAAACAAATATGACAGACAGCAACCAATGACATCCACTGAATTACAGGGTCCTGACTTTGGACAGGCACATATAGAATGTGGCGGAGTTAAAGAACGTTGTGAGCGTTCAACCCTCCCCCTAAACTTGGACATTGTGTAACAGCACAACATAAGAACAGACTATAAAATCAGTTGGGAATGGCTAGACTCATCTGATCGACAACGAAGCACAAAACGACTTAACAAACCTAAAGACAAAAGACTCAAAGTACCGATTTAAGAGTGCTTGCATGTTCTGAAAACCAGATCAAAACCAATAACAACGTATCAACAAATCAGGTTTCCCAGACTGAAGTATCAATCAGTACACATCCAACGGATTTAATTCTTTTTAAGGAGAACACAAAGAGTCAGATACAACCAACACTTGAATTCTCACTAACTCACTCCACTCCAGTCTACTTCTATCTTATCTTTCATATCGTATTGTAATATTCCCTTGTACTTTGTTTTTGTAGTATATACATTCATATCATGTCATTATCAAATATTTTTGTGCTTATATGTGTATTGGGATAAGACGTCTCTAATGTTTTTATAACTTGTGTATAACCCTTTTATATTTTGCAAATATAATATATTCAAACTCAATCTGAGTGCTGCAAAAGATGATGGAACTACATAAGTGTACAGTTCCTAGAAGCTTATAGGACAATCAAATGGTTTTTTTTTTATGTCCAGTATATTTTTGTCAAACGTTTTCTTTGTAAGTAGGAACCTTAACCTTATCAGGAAAAACATGATAAAAAACGCAAACCCCGGAAAATGGTATAAGCTTGGTGATATATACTCCATATGCAGATACTATTAGAATGTTGCATGTATACAGATGGGAAGTTTACAATGGGAAAATTGAAATCACCCGTTTCGTCTAAATGTTGAGTCCTCAACCGACCGTCAAGTAAATTTCTTGGTGTTAGTAAATATGTGATTCATGGTAACCTTTATTTTTAACTGTCATTTAACTTGATGGTCATTATTACATTATTACTAAAAACAAAAATATAATGAAAAAAGAAATTTGGGTAAACTCAAGCTATGGAAAATTCATACTCTTTGTGGTCTTCTTTAAGATTTGCTGTAAATTAACCAAACCACTACCTAGACATGGCGGACTTAAAATAGAAAACTGGTACTAGATTCCACATGTTCAACAACGTTCATCTGACATTATCAATGGCTGTGCTTGTTAATAGATATAATATTGTAATCTAATGACAGGTGAAACCTTGAGAAGGAGATGCTCACCCTGTCCATGTTCATCCTGTCCATGCTCATGGTTTCATTATATTTTTAGGTCATGTGATTCCGCCTGTTTTTTTCACTGTCGAATGACCAGAGTTAACTATCATATTTTAAATTTAATACATTTAGGTCACCTAAAGGTATATCGTACATGTACTTACCAAAACTCATTGGATATAAAGCCATTTCAAGGTTATTCTTCAACAAAGAGATGACGTCACTCTCTGATTTTGATATGACGGCTTTGAATAAACGGTAGCATTCTAGTCTGCTGAACGTTTTATCTATTTGAAAAAAAAAGCATTTAAAAAACAATCTCAATCAAAAGAGGTGCCTTCTTGAATATTAGGCTGGCTCTTTTAGCCCTCTGTACATACTGAAGACATGAAGTTTCCGTAAATTCCTCTCAATTGCATCTTTATCTACACATTAACTCACTTTTGGCTAAATTTCACGAAGAATGATAGACAAGGGAGTTTTATCCAACGCATCGAGCCACCTTCTCTTGATTTACGTTGGTATTTGATAGTAAAGTTAGACTTTAAGTCCTCCGTACATGTCGAAAATAAAAAGTTTCAGAGAACCCTTATGATGGTATTTATATCTTTACCTATCCTAAATATAAGCTAAATGTTATAGACATTTAAAGATCCAGAATGTCTCGCTGTCATTTAAGCGGTTGAGGTAGTCTTTTGCAATGTATTTTGGATATGAAACTGGTACTTTGAACCCTCCGTTTACATTGAAGACAAACATTGTTCGCTTTAAACCATCTGTATCTACATCTAATTTACCACTGGATAAATTTTATGAAGATAGAAAGATCAGGGAATTCTATCCAACCCTCCAAACCATTTTCCATTGATTTTCGTTGATTTTTTTTTTTATAGTAAAGTGATAATTTAGGCCCCCCGTACATATCGAAATGACAAGTTTTAAAGAAATTCTTTTGATAGTATTTAAGTCTATGCCTAGCCTAAATGTAAGCCAAATTGACATTGGAAGAACAGGAAGGCCTTATTATCATTTAAGCGGTTCCAGGTAGTCATTTTCAATAATTTGAATATCAAGCTAACATTTTGATGCCACCCGTGCGACATCATATTTTGTGGCAAAGAAACTTTACAATTTTTTACTTGGAATCTGATAAGGGAGCTACCATTTGATTTTTATGGGGGGACTAGGATGAAAAATTGTGTCCTGCATTTTTTGTTGTTGTAATCTCTGTCCTGCCTTTTTATTTTTCACTCTATTCGGTCCTGTCTTTTTTTTTAAAGTTTATCCTGACTTTTTTTACCTAAATTGTCATCCTGACTTTTTTTTTGCAAGTGTCTCATCCTGCCTTTTTATTTTACTCAAAACTCCTGTCCTGCCTATTTTTTTCAAATTTCATCCTAGCCCCATAAAAATCAAATGGAAGCTCCCAAACAGGTCTCATACTATTACAGGAATTTATTATATCGAAATACAAGATCGGGACGCTTAGATTAATTTTTATCCAGAATCTTGCAAAAACTTGAGGAGCAGTGTCTGAGAAAATGAAGCACTAGGGAGATCTGCTTTAATAGAGGGAGATTGGTTATTGATCGTGATATATCGGTTTGGCAAAAACAATTCTCAAAAAAAGAGACTATTTTACACTTGTATTTAACTTCGATCATGTTTTCTTCGCTTCAAAGCCGCATTATACATAATATAGGTAATATAAGCTATATCAAAATAGAGTTAGGTCCCTTAGAACATTAATGCGTATAAATCCTGGAACAAAAGATTAAGAAATTTCAGCTGTATTTAAACCTATTGTTAGACCGAATTGTCACTTGTCATTTAAATATTTTTACGAGGTGGTTAAACAAATAATCAATTAATATGCTTGGTTACAATTAATAAACTCAGTAGAATTAATAGTTATAACCAGTACGTAAACCAAACATGGACGGACAAAACGGAAAGAAAGAAAAAATAACAAACGTAAGTGTCTATAATCTTATTTTTAAATACAATACATATTCTGAATGACCTTTATGGAGACAGTCAAAATCCGGAGGCTTGCTGGAATGTGCACCCATTTTTTTATTGAGAAATTGTTATGTCCCTTAGTATACATGTAGTGTATGTATATTTGGTGTATACCCTACTTTTATACCAATGTCATTTAAATTTTGCGATAAAACTATCCTAGATAAGAGCTTTTATATTTGTCTGTGTTTTCTTATCAAAACTGTTTCACATTAAATGTATACAGAGTGAATACTACACAAGTGATACGTATGAATCAGACAGAAGACAATGTTTGTGTAGTTGTAATACTGGTGATCCCTTTTGTGGCTGTATCATGATAACATAATCAGTAGATTACTGACCGTTTATCATAAATCGAATTTTTTTTTTTTTTTTTAAAGCATTTCATCTAAAATTCTCTTCAACCTTACCGAAATTCAATTATTGATTTTAAGAGTTATAAACAAGTATACGACATGGGGCATTGGTGTGAATATCAATTTAGAATTAAAGTTTAAATTCAATGTTTAATGTGTATCAATGAATAAAAGTTTACTTGTTCAATACCGTTAGTGTACACACATGGAAGTATACATGGTTTCATACAAACAAACAGTAACACCATGCTTAGAAGCATATAGGTAGTATGGCATTTAATATTACGTTATTTCATGCATCATCAAATGCCGAATTCATATTTTATAAATTGTTTTCAAATTTGCCTTCCATGTCGAATTTTAGATATACATATATATATATATATATATGCATTTAAAGGTTTACGCCTGTACACCCTTAATAAAGAGCAGGAGGTTCAACTTGGGTAACACTAGGTAACACGTAGTTTATGGTAAATATTTGATTGCAAACTTAACAGGAATTTGACATGATATTTGTCGACTTAAATAGCCATATAACGAGTCAGAGCGGACAGTTAATCCTATAAGTATCAATGCGTATGCAATGATTTTATTCCGATTTTAATTAATCTTTTCCCCTTCTAGACATATAAACATCAAACAAATACCCATTATATCGATCGTTTATGACAAAATATTTATGAAGCGGACAGGTTGCTTGGATTACATTTCTTGTTAATATTTTCTCGATGATTGCGAATAATAGCATTGAGAATAATATACCAGAACACATAAAAAATTAATAGGATTTTATCCGATTGCTTGAAAGTTAAAGGAACTAAATCACCATACGTCAATATTAACATAGCAGACAACTTAAAATGGCGGTAAGTTAGAATCATTGTTTACACCTTCATTACATTACTTCATTTGTTTGTAAATTCCTTCACGAAAACAAGAAACATTCAGGTTCCTGACTTAAAAATGCATATTAACCTTTAGAACAGTTTTCCTATAAAAATGACTTGTTTATAACCTGTGGCTATCTGTATAACCAATGGCTATCTGTTTATAACCTGTGGCTATCTGTATAACCAGTGGCTATCTGTTTATAACCTGTGGCTATCTGTATAACCTGCGGCTATCTGTTTATAACCAGTGGCTATCTGTTTATAACCTGTGGCTATCTGTTTATAACCTGTGGCTGCCTGTTTATAGCCTGTGGCTATCTGTTTATCCCGTGGCTATCTGTTTATAACCTGTGACTATCTGTTTATAACCTGTGACTATCTGTTTATAACAGTGGCTATCTGTTTACAACCTTTGGCTATCTGTTTATAACCTGTGGCTATCTGTATAACCTGTGACTATCTGCTTATAACCTGTGGCTATCTGTATAACCAGTGGCTATCTGTTTATAACCTGTGGTTATCTGTTTATAACCTACGGTTATCTGTTTATAACCAGTGGCTGTCTGTTTATAACCTGCGGGTATCTGTTTATAACCTGTGGCTGCCTGTTTATAACCTGTGGCTATCTGTTTATAACCTGTGGCAATCTGTTTATAACCCGTGGCTATCTGTTTATAACCCGTGGCTATCTGTTTATAACCTATGGCTATCTGTTTATAACCTGTGGCTATCTGTTTATAACCTGTGGTTATCTGTTTATCCCGTGGCTATCTGTTTATAACCTGTGACTATCTGTTTATAACAGTGGCTATCTGTTTATAACCTTTGGCTATCTGTTTATAACCTGTGGCTATCTGTATAACCTGTTACTATCTGTTTATAACCTGTGGCTATCTGTATAACCAATGGCTATCTGCTTATAACCTGTGGCTATCTGTATAATCTGCGGCTATCTTTTTATAACCAGTGGCTATCTGTTTATAACCTGTGGCTATCTGTTTATAATCTGTGGCTGCCTGTATATGATCTGTGACTATCTGTTTATAACCCGTGGCTATCTGTTTATAGCCCGTGGCTATCTGTTTATAATCTGTGACTATCTGTTTATAACATTTGCTATCTGTTTATAACATTTGGCTATCTGTTTATAACTTGTGGCTATCTGTATAATCAGTGGCTATCTGTTTATAACATGTGGCTATCTGTTTATAACAGTTGCTATCTGTTTATAACCTGTGGCTATTTGTTTATAACCTGTGGCTATCTGAACGTAATGATAATTACGTACCTTACTGGCAACACATGATCAATCTTTTACAAAGACTTCATCAGTTTTATATGCAATTTATTTAATATTACTGCACGTGTTCCCTTTAGTCATAAAGTTTATATAAGGTGTGAGCCCTTTAGTTCTTGTAAGGTGTAAGCCCTTTATTTCTTGTAATATATGAGCCCTTTAGTTCATGTAAGATATGAGACCTTTTGTTCTCGTAAAGGGTGAGACGTTTGGTTCTTGTAAGGTGTGAGTTATTTAGTACTTGTAAAGTGCGAGACGTTTAGTTCTTGTAAGGTAAAAGCCGTTTAGTTCCTGTTAGATGTGAGCTCTTTTGGTCATGGAAGTTATGAACCTTTTTAAAGTTCTTGTAAGTTGTTAGCTCTTTAGTTCTTGTTGGGTTTTAACCCTTAAGTTCTTGCCATTTAGTTCATGGAAGGTGTTAGCCGTTAAGTTCTGGTAAGGTTTGAGCCCTTTAGGTCCTGTACGATATGAGCCCTTTAGTTTTGTAAAGTGAGATCCATTTAGATCTTGTAAGGTGTGAGCCTTTTAGTTATTGTAAGGTGTGAGCCACTTAGTTCTTTGAAGGTGTAATCCCTTTGTTTCTTGTAAGATGTGGGCCCTTCAGTTCTTGCAAGGTGTGAGCCCTTTAGTTCATGTAAGTTGTGAGCCCTTTAGTTCATGTAAGTTGTGAGCCCTGTGATTCTTGTAAGATGTGAGCACTTTAGTTATTGTAAGTTGTTAGCCCTATAGTTTCTGTAAAGTGTGAGCCCTTCAGTTATTGTAAGGAATGATTCCTTTAGTTCTTGGGAGATACGAGCCCTTGTTGGAAGCATTTATTTCTCGAAAGGTGTGAGCTGTTTAGTTCTTGCAAGGTGTGATATTTGTAATACCTGTAAGATGTGAGCCCTAATATTTTTTGTAAGCTGTGAAACCTTTAGTTCTTGTAAAATGTGAGCTCTTTAGTTCTTGTAAGATATGAGCCCTTTAGTTTTTGTAAGATGTGAGCCCTTTAGTTCTTGTAAGATAAGCGCCCTTTAGTTCTTGCAAGCTGTGAGCCCTTTAGTTCTTGTAAGCTGTGATACCTTTAGTTCTTGTAAGATGTGAGCCCTTTAGTTCTTGTAAGATGTGAGCCCTTTAGTTTTTGTAAGCTGTGATACCTTTAGTTCTTGTAAGATGTGAGCCCTTTAATTCTTGTAAGCTGCGATACCTTTAGTTCTTGTAAGCTGTGATACCTTTAGTTCTTGTAAGATGTGAGCCCTTTAGTTCTTGTAAGCTGCGATACCTTTAGTTCTTGTAAGCTGTGATACCTTTGGTTCTTGTAAGCTGTGATACCTTTAGTTCTTGTAAGATGTGAGCCCTTTAGTTCTTGTAAGCTGTGATACCTTTAGTTCTTGTAAGCTGTGATACCTTTAATTCTTGTAAGATGTGAGCCCTTTAGTTCTTGTAAGCTGTGATACCTTTAGTTCTTGTAAGCTGTGATACCTTTAGTTCTTGTAAGCTGTGATACCTTTAGTTCTTGTAAGATGTGAGCCTTTTAGTTCTTGTAAGCTGTGATACCTTTAGTTCTTGCAAGCTGTGATACCTTTAGTTTTTGTAAGATGTGAGCCCTTTAGTTCTTGTAAGCTGTGATACCTTTAGTTCTTGTAAGCTGTGATACCTTTAGTTTTTGTAAGATGTGAGCCCTTTAGTTCTTGTAAGATGTGAGCCCTTTAGTTCTTGAAAGTTCATTTTATCATTTTTTTATATTTCGAGGAATGTTGTCTCTTTTACTTTCACATGAGTATTGTTTCTTTTCCAGTGAATTATAAATCAAAAGGGAGATTAAAAAAGATGGACTTTAATACATCTGATGATCAGATGGAATGAATGTATATTTTCAAATAACTATCCTATATACACATACGAATCATTTAGTTAAAGTTGTTGTACGTGTGATTTACATACAAATCACCGTAAGGCCTACAACAACGAGCGAAACACATACCTTATAATAAGCCATAAAAGGCCCCGGCATGACAAAATGTGAAAAACACCAACGGCCTAATTTATACAGCAGCAATGAACGAAAAATGAATATATTTCACCTTGTTTGTAATGCCCGTGTCTATAGTCGCATTGGAATTGGCTTGACTCAATCAAATCGGCAATAACACGCCTGGTAAACCATAAAATCTCAACCAAATGGTTAAGCGAGAAAAAACGTTACTGGCACTTCCGGTTGAGCTTTTCTGGTATAGAATATAAATAATATAGATAGGGTAAGTATACTTTTCATCAATCTGTGAACCTTTTGCAAAATAGAAAAATGTCATGCCATAGATAAATAAATGAGAGCTCGTCTCGTTTATTACTTGGACTAATATAATTATAAATAACATCGGAATAACTTTTCTCCAGCAGGTATTTGCGTCCAGCTGAGTGAGTTTTTGACAAAATGGCAGTGACTTCATCAATATAGCTAACGTATATATCAGTATATTAGTGTTTTTCTTAATCAATATACACGTATGATAACAGTTTTTTTCTATCTCTTTACGAATATGATTTTATTAAGCTAAATTTGTTTTAAATTATGCTAGGTTGAGATTTTCTGGTATCGGTTGTGATATTCTGGAACAATGTTGTGATCTTCTGTCAAATAAAACTTTCAACTAGCAAATTGTCATTCGGATATGATCGTCAAAATTCATGAACCTTCTGTATAGTGGTTGTCATTTTCACTTGTTTCTAGTTTTGACATTGTTTTGTATGATCGAGCCCTGTTGGTCTAATACAGATACTAAAGAGTAGTGGTTTTTAAAGTCAAGAAAATGAATTAAAAAGTCTAGCGCTGAGTGAAGATTTTAAGTCTATATCTAAAGATGTAATGTCCAGCGCTGGAAAAGTAAAGTCTTGTACGTAAGATGTAAAGTCTAGCGCTCAAGATGTGAAGCCTAGCGCTATAGATATAAAGTCTTGTGCTGTAGACATAAGGTGGCAATACACAGTAAGGAATTTGGTTTCACAATTTGGCCCAGGTTAATTGTTTTGCGCTCTACAATTAAATTCTTAGATAGCTGAAGAATAATAAACCCTGCAAAGGGGATTTATATGAACATCAAGATTGTGTTTTGGCATTTTTTATGGGAATTTTCCGTTTGATAGTCCGTTTTTCTTATTCGTACCGGTTATATGTTCAGAAATTATTGAAGTGTTTTCCAATAAAGTTTTTACGCTCGAACTTTTCAATCCAATTTTTCCAAAAATGAGGTGAAATGCATATTATTTTTATTTGACATCTTGATAGATAAGTGTCTGGTTTCCGAAAAGGTATCACTCAAATGGATTGAAATTCTAATTTGTACCAAATTTTGGGGACATTTGTTTCTTTTTCATCCCCTATTCGCAATAATTTGTATCAAATATATGCAGATTGTTTGCATGCATATGGTTACACCAAAATGAGATTATATTTCACCATTTTAGCTATTAGAAATAAAATCTATGGAAGATTTTGTTTTTATACCTATGCGAATACTGTGATGACATTAACAGTAAGCCTTATTTGTTAGAAAGAAAGGGAGTGGTTAAAAATTATGAGTGTCAAGTTTTTTGTCTAACTGTGTATTGCTATACCTAAAGTCAAGCGCTGGGTATGTAAAGCCTAGCACAGCTCTGTAGTTTTAGTCCAGCTCTGGAGATGCAAAACCCAATGGACTATATTGACAACGGTTAGATTTAACATCTCCAGCGCTAAACGTTAAATCTCTAGAGCTGGATTTTAAATCTTCAGCGCTAGACTTTCCATTTCGTTAGCTAGACCTTAAAAACCACAAGTCTATAGTATCTGTATTAGGCCAACTGGGCTCCATAAATACACAAAACTAATGTCAAAAATAAAAACATATCAAAATGAAAACCACTACAAAAAGTTTATGAATTTTGACGGTCGTATCCGACACTTAGCTAGTTGAAAGTTTTATTTGACATAAGACCTCATCTTTGTTCCAGAATATCACAACCGATACCAGACAATCTCAACCTAACATAATTTATAACATATTCAGCTTAATAAAATCATATTCGTCCTGCGGGAGAAAAGTTATTCCGATGTTGTTTTAAGTTATTTTGGTCCGAGTAATAAACGGTACAAGCTCACATTTATTCATCTATGGCATGACATTCTCCAATTTAACAAAAGATTCACAGATTGACAATAAATTGATAAAAAGAAGACCTACCCTATATATATATTTGATATTTTATACCGGAAGTGCCAGTAAAGTTTACTCTCGCTTAACCATTTGGTTGAGATTTGATGGTTGACCAGGCGTGAATAAGCACAAAAACAAATAGCAAAAAGACAATGTACATTAAGTACCTATCTAAGAGTACTAGCAATTATTGAAAGCTAGTTAACAGTCCTATGTCAACTGACAAATAAACATTGTTCTCCTAGGATGAAATGTCAGACTAAATTGTCAATCCGTACTAGCGGTTCATACTATTTTTTTAAAGTATGAGAAGTACATTTTAAATCCCCTCGACATCTCATTCAGAGACAAATCAAACAGTGGTTGCAGTCTCGAAAGAAAAATAAACACACATCATGAATATAATGTGTTATTTATAACCATTTTAGACCAATATACTGTACCAGCCTTTAGCTTTCATATATCCCCGAGCTCAGTTGATGCTATATGAAAGAGCATGTTCCCATCATATAAAAAATGACATAGATATGTGACTTCAGTCTCTCAAACTGAGAAAAAAACATATTGGAGCTGGGTTATACTTTTTGTATTGACATTAGCTTTCCCAAAGTATAAATATATGAATTCAATACATGTGATGTATTATAATAATGAATTAAGAAATCGTTTGCAAGATAAAAAAAAAAAAGCAGTTTTAGTTGAATAAGAGATCGACAGTATTTTTAGCTCACCTGGCCCAGAGGGCCAAGTGAGCTTTTCTCATCACTTGGCGTCCGTCGTCGATGTCGTTAACTTTTACAAAAATCTTCTCCTCTGAAACTTCTGGGCCAAATTAAA